TATTAGTTTTAGTAACTATAGTAGATTTCCTAGGATTTTTTTCCATTAAGAATCATGTTGTATGTGAATAAAAGCAATTTTACTTCTTCTTTTCCAGTCTGTGTGCTTTTAATTTTTTTCTTGGCTTATTGCACTAGTTAAGACCTGTAGTTCTAATATTGAATAGAAGGGGTGAGAGCAAGTATACTGGCCTCGTTCTTTCTTGATCTTGGGAGAGAGCATTCAGTCTTTCACAGTAAATCTGATGTCAGCTGTAGGTGTTTCGTAGATGCTCTTTACTAGGTTGAGGAAATTCTCTTCTTAGTTTGCTAAGAGTTTTTTATTGTGAATGGTGTTGAATTTTGTCATATGCTTTTTCTGCATCTATTGAGATGATCATATGTTTCATTTCTAGTTTCTTGAAATCATATTGATTGGTTTTTTAGTATAAACCACCTTGAAGTTTTCGTATTAACCCCACTTGGTCATAATGCATTATCTTTTTTATATATTCCTGGGTTTGATTAGCTAAAATTTAAAGATTTTTGGCTTTGCATTCCTGAGGGATATTGGTATGTAAATTTCTTTTTTTTTAAATGTCTGGTTTTGGTATCAGAGTAATGCTGGCCTTAAAATATGAGTTGGAAGTTTTTCCGACTTTTCTTTTTTCTTAGAGAATTTGTTTAGAATTAGTTTTATTTTTCCCTTAAATGCTTGGGAGAATTCAGTTGAAGTCATTTGGATCTGGAGGGTTTTTTTGTGTATGTGGGAAAGATTTTAAATTACAAATTGAATTTCATTGATTGATATAGGACTATTCAGATTAATTACTCTATTTCTTCTTGAGTAAGCTTTGGTGTGTTTGACCTTCACAGAATTTGTCCATTTCATTAAGCCCTCTTTTGCCTTTTAGTATTTCTAAAGTTTGTAGTGATAGCCATCCCCTCCTTCATTTCTGATTTTGGAAATTTGTGTTTTCTCTCTCCCTCTCCTGGTCAATGTTAATACAGGTTTATCCATTGTAATGATCTTTCCGAAGAACCATCTTTTGGCTACATTGAAATTTTCTTTTGTTTTTCTGTTTCTATTTTATGATTTCCACTCTTAACTTTACTGTATTCTTCCTTCTCCTTCTTTTGGGTTTAGTTTGCTTTTATTTTTCTAGATTCTCAAGCTGGAAGCTGAAAGCAGGAGTCAGCAAACTACAATCTGGGGGCCAAATCCAGCCTGCCACTTGTTTTTGAATGGCCCACGAACAGAGAATGGTTTTGCATTTTTTTAGTGGTTAAAAAAGTCAGAAGAATACTGTTTTGTGAAATGTGGAAATTAAATGAAATTCAGATGTCAGTGTGGATAAGTAAAGTCTTATTGGAACACAGCCACACTCATTTGTTTACATATTGTCTGTGGCTGTCTTTTGCTAGAGTGGCAGAGTCGAGTGGTTGTGACAGACACTTGTGTTGTTCTCAGTGCTTCGCACTGCTGCTTGGTGGGCTCTAATCACAGTGCTTCAAGCGCCATGCATATCACTGTACTGAGAGATTTTGCTTTAGTTATTTATTATCAGCACATGCCCATCATGTCAAAACAAGAACAGATAAGAAAAATGGACTTGACATGTTATACTTTTAAGGCACAGTGGAATGTGGATTATTGAGTTAGGTGACAAAGCATTGTGATTATTATGCAATGGCACCATAGCTGTGCTAAAGAAATACAGTATATACTGACATTGCCAGACTAATCGTTCCTCACAGTATTCTCTATACACAAGAAAACAATGGTCAGAAAAATTAGAAAACTTAAGGAGTGTCTTACCACAGCAAAATTTCTTCACAAAATTAAAAAACGAAAATCAGGTTGCACTCAGAGTACGTTTATGAGTGTCTCATTTGTTAGCTAAACAAAGGAGTCATTTACTGATGGTAACTTTACTAAATCTTGTTTGATTGTAGCAGCCAAAGAAATGTGTCTGGAGAAAATAATTTTATAGTCTTGTTAAGACTATTAGCTTTTTGGCAAGAACAGTTGATGGGAGAGTTGAGAACATCAATAATCAATGGAATAATCAAAAAACAAGGCAAATGATTTTGAGTGGTTTTGCTGGGCTCTTGATGAATTGACAAATGTTACCAGTGCAACTCACTTGTTGTTAATTGAGAAGTCAATGCTGAGTTTGAAGTTACTGGAGAATTAGTTTTAATGAAAAGTGTTCGTGGAATAATTACAGACCAGAATATTTACAAAAAGTTGAGAAAACACTAATTCTTTACAACCTAAAGTAGAATCTGCTAAGATGTGTTACAACTGATGGTGGTAAAAATGTGTTTAGAACAGAAAAAGGCTTAGGTGAACAAATTTACAAAGCTGTGAAAATGTGGGTGGTTAATGTCTATGGTTATTCATTCAGGTATTTTGGTATATTCAGGTTATTCAGCAGGTATTTTGCAGAGGAATTTGAATCTATCATGTGATATGGAACCAGGAGTGCCTCAGGACTCAAGAATGTTGCTGTTGTGGACATTGTCATTCCATGTCAGTTCCATGAATTTTTGTCAGAAATAGAAGCTGAGTAGCGTGACTTGCTCTGCCACACCACAGTTCAGTGGCTTTGTAGTGGTAAAGTTATATTGCAATCTTTTGAGCTTAGGGCTGATTTGAAATTTTTCTGAATGAGAGGAACTACTCTCAGGTAGTTTTATTGAACACTGCATGGCTTTGGCAGTCAGTTTTTGCCGCAGACTTGCTAATGTTTCTTAATGAATTCAACATAAAATTACAAAACAAAACAGTGCTTATATGCAAAACTAAAAGTTATTTTGATGCCAACTAATGTTTGAGTCACAAGTGATATGGAACTGTTTTGTGTAGCTTTCCATGCTGTCAAAAGTTAAAGCAAAGAAGCGAGATCTCCATTCCTACCCAGATTTACAATAGGTTTATTTTCTGAGCTCAAACTACAGTTTCAGCAACATTTTTCAGACTTTGATGCAAGTGCAAAGGAAATTTCCATATTACAAACTCCATTTAACTCTGCAATTGAGGCGCTTCCACCCAGCTTTCAGTTGGAAGTGATTAATCTGCAGTGTAAGGACATGCTCAGAGACAAATGTCAAGAGGAGAATAAATTCCTTAAGTGCCCTCCAAACAATGGATATGCTGAATTGAAATCATTTGCTTGAGATTTGATAGCAATATGTTACAGTACCTGTCTGGGTACAATTACATTTTCAGACATGAAATACATAAAATCTTATTAAAAAGCAGCATTAACATATGAACGTTTGCAGTTGGTTTGGATGATGGAGAAGACTAAGTGAAATACTATCCCCTCATAGAGTTCCATTCCCTTTAGTAGACCTGTTTTTACAAAAAGTTGTTCTCAGCTATTATTATTATAATATTTTGAATTTCATCAATAAAAATTGTGGAAATTTTTTTCTTGTTATATAAGTCCATACATAAAATCCTCAGTTTTGCCTGTTGGCCTTCAAAGCCTAAAATATTTACTGTCTGGCCCTTTACAGAAAAAGTTTGCTGACCCCTGCTTTACATCAAGATATTTTTATTCTGCATAGTTGTGTACCTGCACTTATTAGCAGAATTAAGGCTTTTGTCTCACAGTAATTTTAAAAGAAAATAATATATGGAACAGTTTTGTTTCTGCTGGATTTGTTAATTGCAGCTTATTCATTGTAATAAGACCTTACTGCTTTGTGTTCGTGTTCTAATTTGAAGAAGAGGCTTTCAGTGTTCTTCCTGTAGTCTGTGGGTAGATCTACTGTATGCTGAAATATCTTACTTTGTGAAAGTAGTATACTATTTGCTGCAGTGTGATTCTTAAGCAACATAGATGCTGCCTTCAGGGAACCTATGCTGGGGGAAGGGGCAAATAATATGCCAAAATACAAAAAGCAAACAGCTCTCAAGGATGTGCTGGAGTCAGTTGAAATGCCTAGAACTAGATGTGGTTAATTTTGAAGAAGAGTTTTTTGCCCCTCAAGAATAGATAAGAGGCAGAGAGAAATAGCCAAGCTACCCACACCAAAATTTAATTCCCTCAGGAAGGCATGGAGAAATGTTTTGATTTTCTCTACTAAGTGTATTCATTGGCTTATTGTTCCAGGAAATGAGTAGGGCAATTTGGACTCTTTCCTAGGATGTCATTCTTCTCTGTCTCTGGACTTCCTACTCTTTGTAGTCTTGGGTGGCAAGTGTCTTTGCATAGAAGCCTTGGATGATTCTGGGAGACTTTTGGGAAGCCTGGAAGAAAAGCCAGAATTACTGGGCTGGAGGGCCTTGGTGGAAACCAGGGGTTCACGTGATACCTTCCTATCACCTCTAGAAGGGAAAAGATGAATGATAGTTATTTGCACAGACAAAAAGTCAGAGAGAAGAACAGGAGCGTAGAAGATTACGAGTTGAGGAGCCAAAAGGGCTCCGGTAGTTTAATTCAGAGGTATTTGCTTAGATTTAAGTTATATGGGACAATTAAATGTATATAAATGATGGACAGACAACTATAGGCTGTTCCTTTAAAATGTATTCCTTAAGTAAGATTCTTTTTGTTCTTGGGGCCAAAAAATTTTAATGAGAAGTAATTTCTGCAGTTTTAATTGACATCAGTGGAAAATATGTTATTCATATATTTATTTCAGGATTGTCAAGAATAAATTGAATAAAATAAAGCAAGTTCGTCATTACTGTTATTGCAGCTCGTGTAATTATAAATGAGGCTGGAAAACTAGTGTCCAATTTAGGTACCTGTAACATAAATCAGTAGTTCAGAGCTGCGTGATTTCTCTCCTTTATCCCCTTGGGTGTTCTTTTATGATCTCTTTTGCACTTCCAAAATTAGAAACTTTGTTCAGTATTATAAGATGCATTCGGATAACCTCAAAGACTGAGAGAACCACTTTGACTTCCAAAGTAGTTTTAAGCAGATATTTTAAAGAATAATAAAAAATGTTTTAAAGTCAGTGCTGAAAACTTAATAACAAGTCCTTATGTTTTATGTTTAGGTCTCTGAAAGAAGATGAATTTGGCTGAGATTTGTGACAATGCAAAGAAAGGAAGAGAATATGCACTTCTTGGAAATTATGACTCATCAATGGTGTATTATCAGGGAGTGATACAGCAGATTCAGAGGCACTGCCAGTCAGTCAGAGACCCGGCTGTCAAAGGCAAATGGCAGCAGGTGAGGCCACATCAACGTGTTCAGTGAGTGAGGGCGGTAGTCTATTACGCTTGAAAGATTAGAGTTGGAAAGTTAGTTTGAGATTTTGTAAATACTTCTTAATTGATTACTGAAATATATTTAAAATGTACTCTGAATAATTTTTTGTCTTGCCCAGTTAATATTTTATATATTTTTGATAATGTATTTCATCAGACATATTTCAAAGATATTTAATTCTAATTGAATCTACTTTTTTTTTTTTAAAGATTTTATTTTTCTCCTTTTTCTCCCCAAAGCCCCCCGGTACATAGTTGTATATTTCGCTGTGGGTCCTTCTAGTTGTGGCATGTGGGACGCTGCCTCAGCGTGGTCTGATGAGCAGTGCCATGTCCGCGCCCAGGATTCGAACCAACGAAACACTGGGCCGCCTGCAGCGGAGCGCGTGAACTTAACCATTCGGCCACGGGGCCAGCCCCTAATTGAATCTACTTTTAATGTTTTTTTTTAATTTTCATGATCAGTTGTCTGATTGTGTGTGATTACAAATTTTTGAAATCAGGTATTTCTATTCACCCTTTCTCCTTTCATTTTTACATGTATTTTGACCCATTTCAGAATTTTTACGTGTATTTTGACCTTTTTCTTTTTAAGAAAGTTTCCTCTTCTTTTGAAAGACTCCTTACATACAGAGAAGTCAGTAATCTAATAAAAAACACTAATGTATTTGTTATGTCTCTTGACTATACAACTTGATTATATAATAGGACAGTTAATAAAAAGTTGAATTGTATTTCCCCACTTATTCTTAAAACTTAAAATCCTTTTAAAATTAAAAGTACAAAGTCAGGCATTTCTTTGAAGTTTCCATTTTATGTAGTAATGCCTTTCAAGTGTTTCTTCTAATTTCTTCGTTAGTCAGAAATTGATGTTTGATTAAGTTTTCAGGGTAAATTTGGCTTATTTTCCGACTTAAGTGTTACCAAATTATGTTGAGTGAGAAGAATATACTTGCTGTAACTGAAGTTGAAATTTTTAGTTGTATTCTTGTATTCTGCATACTAGCCAGAGGCAAGAGTTGTTTATTAATGTAGCATGGAAATGTTTTTGACATGTTCTTAATTGTCTTAGTGACCATTTCTATTGAGATATTTCTACTATATTTCTTTTCATTAGGTTCTGAAGTTTCGTCTCTCCAAGTATAGCATATAATTGCATATATTAACAGTTGAATTTTACCTAGATTTTTCTTTGGTTCTACAACTCCTATATGTTCCTTTCTATATATTAATCAAGATAAAGTTAAGGGAGAGTTTCTTATGCTCTGCTTTACAGTAAACTCTGCTTTCTGGTTAAAAAAATCAGAACTGTTAAAATGAATTTGTAAATGTAGTTTTCAATCTATTATCTGTTTGCCTTTGAAAACTAGTTTGGGTAAACAAGAATTTCCACCTAGTAGGTGCTCAGCGAAGTTTTGTAAATATAGGAAGAATCTTGCCTTTGAGCTCAAAATAAATTTTACCCAGAACTTGAAAGAATTTAAACAAGTGCAAAAGAATTCAGATTTTAGGTGAAGGAGAATTTAAATAAAAATAGGAGGTGGGTAATTCATACCCATTGCCATGGTATAAATATGTGGAATGAACTCATGTAGAATGAACTGAAGTATTGTACCACTTCAGGCTTTCAGATACTCACGGCAGCATTACATAGTGATATTGGGGGTAGAAAATGCTGGTGAAATTTTAGCTGATAATTGTTTGGAAGGTATTTATAAATATATTAAAAGTGTTTAGCATAACATTATAGATTTCTGGGAATGATTAACTTTTTGCTGACTCAGTTGCTTTTTTTAAATGGTATAAATGGTTATCACATTCTTTGGTGGAAATAGAGTTCCATTATGAAAAATAAATAACTACTTTTCCTACAAAAAGGTATGTAATTATGTCTTTTTTCAAACCGATTCCCACCTTCCTATCTTAGTTTAAGTAGTTCTTTGTTTTCTGGCTATGTTTTAATGACTCATTTTGCATACTTTAAGTGACATTAAGAAAACTTGCACTCTATGGCAATTTATTATTTGCAGTTTATATAAACTTTAAACAGTTTCTAGCATAAAGGTTATTTTTTTAAGGTTCGGCAGGAATTATTGGAAGAATATGAACAAGTTAAAAGTATTGTCAGCACTTTGGAGAGTTTTAAAATTGACAAGCCCCCAGATTTCCCTGTGTCTTCTCAAGATGAACCGTTTAGAGATCCCGCTGTTTGGCCGCCCCCTGTACCTGCAGAACACAGGTGGGTGGGACTTTATGTTCTCTTTAGGTACTTCTGTAATTAATTGATATTCAGAGTGAAGAGGGTGAAGCTTTATTTGAACAAAGTATTAAAAAGTATTTTGGTTGGGGGGCGGGCGTGTAGATTTATTTGATAAGGAACAGAAGTAAGTCACTTGTCATATATCTTGCTTTTAGAATGTTTTACTACTGTAATCATAACAGTAGAAATCTTGTAGTCATAAAATTTATCGGTTAAGTGAGTTCTTTTAGATTTATAATATCAGCATCAAAACTTGGATGGCTTTTTTGCTTTAAAAGACTCTAACAACTTTAGATGAAATGGTGGACAAATTGGATTCATCTGGTTGAGCCTACAGCCAGTTTCCAGAGTCCTAGTGTAGAAGGAACCTTACCATTCTTTAAAGGTTAAAGATCAGATTCCCTAGAGTGGCAGGTAAGGATCTAAGTTTATCTCCTATGCATTATCTACATTAAACCTCCCTCTTCTTGTTCTTTCCTGTAATCTTGTCTTTGCAGTCTGTTCCTTCTTCAAGGACTACCCATAATCCCCATCTAAGCAGCTCGTATTCATTCTTCAAGTCTTATCCCCACTGTATTTCCTCTCTGTAGTCTTTTTCAATTTGCCCAGGCATTAACGGTTTGTTCATAGCAGTTATCATATTGCATTTCTTTGTCTCTTCACAAGATTAGGAGCTTTGTAAGGGAAAGAACCATGATTTTATTTACTCAAAACGAGTAATAATGGGGCTGGCCCCATGGCCGAGTGGTTAAGTTCACGCGCGCCGCTGCAGGCGGCCCAGTGTTTTGTTGGTTCAAGTCCTGGGCGCGTACATGGCACTACTCATCAAACCACGCTGAGGCAGCATCCCATGTGCCACAACTAGAAGGACCCACAACGAAGAATATACGACTATGTACTTGGGGGCTTTGGGGAGAAAAAGGAAAAAAATAAAAAATCTTTAAAACAAAACAAAACAAAACAAAACAAAAGAAACGAGTAATAATGAACTTCCCTTGGTAACACAGAGTTTGGCGTATAGTAAGCATTCAGTCCCCATTGAATGAATAGCTCCATTAATTCTGTAGGTGAGGACACTGAGACCTGAGAGACCCTGACCTATAAGATAGGCTAGACCAGATCTGAGTGTAGGTCTTTCTGGCTTTCAGTCCATTTGATTGTGAAGTGGTATTGTGGCCAGAGCGTTGCATCATAAAAAATAATTTTCCCCTTGGTCAGTAGCTGTGATCGTGTCTTTTACTTGTTGATCTCTTAAAATTTCCTAAAAGCATTTGGAGAACTGTGAAAAGTGGTTAATTTATTCCTTCAGGGTTTTTTCCGCTGAACAGATAATTTTGTGATTCATATTATAAAAACACTAGACAATGATTCTTTTCTAAGGTCTACAACAATATAGTGCTTTCCTCCATGTGTTTTGGATTAAGGTAACCTTAACCCCTCAAAAGGCAATGTTTCAAGTCATAGGATTGTAACCATGGAAGTTCTAAAGTAAATATTGAAAAAACGAAATAGTGGCATTTTAATCTATCAGAACTTGAACATTTTGTGAATGTATATAAAATAAAATACTTTGTTTTTTTCTGAAAGTCATTAATTCAGAAATATACTTCGTTTGTTTATTTTTATTTTTTTGTTAATTTTATTATTTATTTATTGAGGAAGATTACCCCTGAGCTAACATCTACTGCCAATCCTCCTCTTTTTGCTGAGGAAGACTGGCCCTGAGCTCACATCCATGCCCATCTTCCTCTACTTTATATGTGGGATGCCTGCCACAGCATGGCTCGCCAAGCGGTGCCATGTCCACACCCAGGATCTGAACCGGCGAACCCCAGGCCACCAAAGCGGAACGTGCGCACTTAACCACTGTGCCACTGGGCCGGCCCCTACTTCTAGTTTAAAGCTAAAAGCTGACAATAACTATTTTTATTTAGATGTAATGAACATATCACATTGTGTAAGATGTGTGTACAACGTGTTGATTTGATATATTTATATATTGCAATATGATTACCACCATAGCATTAGCTGATACTTCTATCACGTCACATAGTTATCATTTCCTTTTTTGTGATAGGAACAACTAATATCTCGTCTCTTAGCAGCTTTGAAGTTTATAATACGGTATTGTGTAAAATCATTATGCTGTGCATTTCCAGGACTTCTTTCTTTTCTAATTGCAAGTTTGTACCTTAAGCATCATCTCCCCAATTCCTGCATCCCCCAACCCCTGGTAACCACCATTCTAATCTGTTTTTATGAGTTTGGCTTTTTTAGATTCCACATGTAAGTGATATAATACAGTATTTGTCTTTGTCTGACTTATCTCACTTGGCCTAATGCCCTCAGAGTCCATCCATGTTGTTGCAAATGGCAGGCTTTCCTTCTTTCTCATGGCTGAATAATATTCCATTTTATATATGTACCACATCATCTTGATTCATTTATCTTTTGATGAACTCTCAGGTTATTTTAGTATCTTGGCTATTGTGAATAATGCTGCAGTGAATATGGGAGTGCATATATCTTTTCGATGTCCTGTTTTCATTTCCTTTGGATATATACCCAGGAGTGGAATTGCTGGATCATCTGGTAGTTCTATTTATAACTTTTTAAGGAACCTCCATACTGTTTTCCATAGTGGCTGAACCAGTTTACATTTCCACCAACAGTACATAAGGGTTCTCTTTTTTCCACATCCTTGCCAACACTTATCTCTTGTCTTCCTGATGATAGCCATTTTAACAGGTGTGAGGTGATATTTCATTGTGGTTTTGATTTGTCTTTCCCTGGTGGTTAGTAATGTTGAGCATCTTTTCATCTATCTGTTGGCCATTTGGATATCTTCTTTGGAAAAATTTCTATTTTGTTCCTTTGCCCATTTCTTTTTTTTTTTTTGAGGAAGATTAGCTCTGAGCTAAAATCTGCCATCAATCCTCCTCTTTTTGCTGAGGAAGATTGGCCCTGAGCTAACATCTGTGCCCATCTTCCTCTACTTTATAAGTGGGATGCCTGCCACAGCGTGGCTTGATAAACACTGTGTAGGTCTGCGCCTGGGATCTGAGCTGGCAAACCCTGGGCCACCGAAGCACGTGACCTTAATTGCTATGCCACTGGGCCGGCCCCTCCTTTGCCCCTTTTTAAATCAGATTGCTTTGTTGTTGTTGTTGAGTCATATGAGTTCTTTATATATTTTCGATATTAACTTCATATCTGATATATGGTTTGCAAATATTTCCCCACATTTAGTAGCTTGCCTTTTCATTTTTTTGATTGTTTCTTTTGCTGTGCAGAAGCTTTTTAGTTTGATGTAGTCTCATTTGTTGGTTTTTGCATTTGTTGCTTGTGCTTTTTGGTATCATATGCAAAAAATCATTGCCAGGACCCATGTCAAGGACCTTCTTTCCTATGTTTTCTTCTAGGAGTTTTATGGTATTGGTTCTTATGATTAAGTCTCTTTAATCCATTTCAAGTTCATTTTTGTGAGTGGTAGTCCAATTCAGTTTTTCTGATTGTGGTTATTCAGTTTTCTCAACACCGTTTGTTGAAGAGACTATCCGTTCCCTATTGAGTATTCTTGGCTGCCTTGTCAAATATTTGATCATAAACGCAGGGGTTTATTTCTGGGCTTTCTATTTTGTTCCATTGGTCTGTGTGTCTGTTTTTATGCCAGTACCATACTGTTTTAATTACTATAGCTTTGTAGTGTAATTTGAAATCTGGAAATGTGATGCCTCTGGCTTTGTTCTTCTTTCTCAAGATTACTTTGGCTATTTGGGGTCTTTTGTGGTTCCATACAAATTTTAGGATTTTTTTGAATTTCTGTGAAAAATCCTATTAGCATTTTGATAGAGATTGTGTCGAATCTGTAGATGGCTTTGGGTAGTATGGACATTTTAACAAAATTAACAAAATTAGTCTTCTCATCCATGAACGTGGGAGGTTGTTCCATTTGTTTGTGTTTTCTTCAATTTCTTTCATTAAAAACTAAATGTAGTTTTCATCATACAGATCTTTCACTTCCTTGGTTAAATTTATTCCCAAGTATTTTATTGTTTTTGATGCTATTGTGAATGGGATAATTTTCTTTACTTCTTTTTCAGATGCTTTGTTTTTAATGTCTAGAGACATAACTAATTTCTGTATGTTGATTTTATATCCTGCAACTTTACTGAATTTGTTGATTAGTTCCAACAGTTTTTTGGTTGAGTCTTTAGGATTTTCTGTATATTAGATCATATCATCTGCAACTAATGACAGTTTTGCTGCTTCTTTTCAGATTTGGATGCCTTTGATTTCTTTGTCTTGCCTGATTGCTCTCGCTAGAACCTCTGGTACAGTGTTGAATAAAAGTGGTGAGAGCGGGCATCCCTGTCTTGTTCCTGGTCTTAGAGGAGAGGCTTTCAGTTTCCCACTGTTGCGTGTGATGTGAGCTGTGGGCCTGTCATGTATGGCCTTTATTATGTTGAGATATGTTCCTTCTATACCCAGGTTGTTGAGGGTTTTTATCATGAAGTGATGTCGTATTTTGTCAAATACTTTTTCTGCATCTATTGAGGTGATCATATGATTTTTATCTTTCATTCTGTTAAGGTAGTGTATCATGTTTATTGATTCATGTATGTTGAACCATGCTGACATCCCAGGGATAAATCCCACTTGGTCATGCTGTGTAATCCTTTTAATGTGTTGTTGAATTTGGTTTGCTAATATTTTGTTGAGCACTTTTGCCTGTGTATACATTAGGATATTGGTCTATAGTTTTCTTTTCTTGTGATGTTCTTATCTGGCTTTGGTATCAGGGTAATGCTGGCCTCATGAAATGAGTTTGGAAGGATTCATTCAGTTTTTTAGAAGAGTTTGAGAAGGATTGACATTAGTTCTTTAAATGTTTGGTAGAATTCACTAGTAAAGCCATCTGGTCCTGGGAATCACTTTCAATATAGGAAATACCTGTTCTAAATTGATAAAGCACCATG